AGACAGAGTTGCATGCGTGAGTCACTGCTGTTGCTAAACAACGGCTTACCTGCTTCTTAGAACAGTATTCCTGGTATGAGAAGGACAATGCAAATTCACATTTTAAGATCAGATACGTAATAACTTGACAGCTATACCCATGTCCTATTTCTTAGAACTATAGCCAGCTATCAGGTTTTACCTGATTCCCATAACCTGAAATGACAAGCACTAGATCATTCATAACTAGATGCCTGATCCCTCTTCAAATGTCTGTCTCAACTAACTTTAAAATGATCACATTCATGATCCAAAGACACAGTAATCATTTAAATATGAAGATAATGTGGCACATTTTCAAACACTGTCCTCTTGAAGGCATTGACAGTGTTAAACCCAGTTATATACACAACCTCAAATCGTGTATGTATGACTGGCTTCCTTTCTGGTGAGCAGTTGGCACCTTGCATGGCAGCCACTGCCATCAGTGTATGAATGTGTGTGAGGGGTGAGTGTGACATGTAGGCGCGTATATAAGTACAGTCCATTTAGCGTTACCATAACTGACCACTTATACTGTTGCCACACAACCCCATAGAGTGCCAAGTTGAGTATGGGCTTTGGAATGGCAATGTGAGGCTGCTATAGTGGTGCAGAGGTTATGGTTGATACTAAATGACAGTCAAATTACACTGTAAATTACAATTCAAAGAAAATACTAGAAAAAAATGTGTCCTTTAGTAAGTTTTTATAATTATCTTTTATAAAAGACAATAAACCAGACACAGTTTTATGAATCTAAAGTGTTAGACATGAGCTTTCCAACCATGCTTCTACTGTAAGTCCTGTGAAAGCTGGGTAGAAACTGACAAAAAAAAGTTTTACTGGATAAACAAGTGCTCTGAGATAACTTCAGTTTTAATTCTATAAGTCCTTTACATTTGATCCATTTCACTCTCCGGAACTGGCAGATCATGTTTTCAGATTGTCAGTACAGAAGATTTGTAATTATTATAAGTTTGGAGATGCATTTTTTTCTTCCTTGCTGTGAAAATAATATTGTCAGATCAGACAAGCCAGTCACTTTTTTTCACAAATAACTCTATTATCTCTTCTTCCTTAAATCAATTTGTGACCTGGTAGCATTTAACAATTTCTTAACAAGTCCTCCAAATTAGATGATAAAGTACATCATTTGTAACTACTTTTCAGAATGACATAATTATATAAGCATTTTCTAATCTGACACCCCTGATCTGATCTGAGAATGATAATTTGTAAATGGACTGTCCTTATTGTAGGACCTTGTCCTCGTCCTCGTCTTCCTCTACAAGAGACGCTTTATCCGTCTCTTAATTCAACAATCATTTTTATTTAAATATGTTCCACCAGGAGAGTTCAGAAAGGCCTCTTTCTCTGACCTTTTTGACCCAGGAAAGGAGATAAGACTTTGCCGTGTCAAGCAGTCCTTCGACAGGAAGAAGCCTGTCTCTGCTGATTCACTGATGGGATTACTAGTGGGCATCCACCTCTTTTGTTTATGACTGCAGATCTCCTTTCCACAGATAAAAGGACATACACTCACGGTTTCGGAAAAGACAATGTTGTTCTCTACAAGAGATGTGTGATAATTAAGTGCTTTTTGATTGTAAATCAGGGTTAGATATCCCTGAAATGTGTTTACATCTCTACGACAAAGTAGGCTGAAAACTGCATACACCGCTGGGTTCACCACCACACTTTGAAAGAGTTGGTGTCTGTCTGTAAGCTTTGATCCATTCTTTTAAAAGGGGTTTAGA